TAGCACAGCTGGAAATGCTCTAAGACCAGTTTTCTTTGTAGCAGTTTTACAGATAGTGCCACAGAATTTAGAGACAAAAAGAAAATTAAAGGAAAGATCTTTGGGAACACAATCAAAGATTCAGTCCACAATGTTTGACAGGTAAAACTTACTTTGTCAGCATTGCCTCTTGCGCCTGCACACTCTCTTATTAAATTCTATCGATAATACCCTTAATTTCTTCTAGCCAATTTCAAACATCTTTGTAATGGATGCTATATCAACACCTTTCAGTAATGCAGTCTGTGAGTTGACACTATGCAATTATTGCTTTTGTTCCTTCCCTCCCCCCAAAAAAGAGAGAAACTGATCAAAATTTTGAATTCTGTAATCCTAAATTCTAAGGATCAGAATACTTCTCCCACTCTACAGTATGAAATATTCATATGTTTTTGGAAATTCCTCTTGATGGCTCACAGTTCCCATACAGAATCATGGCTACAGCTAAAATTTGCTGAAAAAAATTTCAAGCAATACTTCACAGGCTGTATACATTAAGGATAGTTTGAATTTCTGGGTTAGGGGACAGGACATGTAACATGATTAACAAGGATGAATAACTTTGCCAAGAAAAGGAGAAAGTACTATAACAATCTTCCCAAGAAGGGGAGGAAGCTGAAACATATGGTATGGATTCCAGTAAAAATACATGTACTTTGGTTTATATCACATCTATATGAATAAAATTTAGGAATATAATTATAAATTATTTCTAAAACAGTTGGCCAGGTCATGAGTTAGTCTTACCAAGAAGAAGAGGATTAAATGTCTTCTATAAAGATTATCATCTAGTGTAAAATTTTACACATGATTTTGCATATTCGATGTATGATACGATGGATTAATATGAGTAACAATAAAAGGCCTGACTAGTTATTTTTCCTATTTTGTTTTGTTTTTGTATTTATTTTTTATTTCACTTAGAATGAACTATGAAACAGATTACTTTCAGGGTTTTTTGTTTTTGTTTTTGGTTGTTTTTTTTTTTTTTAAGTAGGCTTTCCTTCCCGATAAATTCTCCAAATGCAATAATGCTGTTTTCTGTGAAAGAAGAATGTTGCTCTTTAAAAAGTAAATGGCTTCCAGATAAGTTTTGTGACACATTTCATCATAGCATTTCCATCGATTTTAAATGTTGCAATAGCTCTTTCAGCTTTTAGAAACTTGGCAACACTGCATTAGAGTAACTTGAGAATATTGCCAATTCAGAAAGGGAGCACAGAATGATGCTTTCATGAATTTGTGGTGCCTGAATTTGTGAAACTCTGAAGTGTGTCTTTTTTTCTCCTCCTCCCTCCGGTCCCTTTGTGTTGTGGAGCCTCTTAGGAAGTTCAGTCTTGTTTTTTCTCATTGTAGATTTTATAATTCCCTTTTTTGCTTAACATCTATATTAAAAATCCCTTAAAATTCTTTGTAATCTCTATCTATATCCTTACAGTTATATACATGCATTACATATATTTATTTAAACTACTTTGTAGACTTCACAATATTATCAAAAAAATATGAGTTGGGAAAGTTGGGAAAGCTGAACTTATTTTTTATGGATGTTAACACATCACAAACTGTTCTTTTAAGAATGAAGAGAGAAACCACTGCCTCATCTTGACTCTGGTAATCTTTTGGAAACCAACTGTGATCTCTTTCCCTTCCATGTTTTTCTTTGATTGTTTCTGATGGAGATTATGAAATATTTCCTGAATCAGTGAGAGTAATCTAATGCCGCAAACCTTATGACCTTATGTCGTATCATTTTCCACACGTGGCTACTCCATACTTCAGTTTGTTACTGGGGAACATAGCAGTGAAGTTCTGTTAAGTTAAACTACTTATTTGACATTGGTGAAAGAAATAAGACTTTTTGCAAGGTAAATTCTATTCTGAAAAAACTATTCTGATAGAGAAGAAAAATAATTTTCTTCTCTATCTTCAATCCACATGTTGCCAGAGTGATGTTCAACAGGCTTGGCTGTAAAGATTATAGAAATCCCTTAGCTCTAAAAACTGTAGAAACCCCTTACAGTTCAAATTCTTTTTGTCATCTGAGAGTAGTTTTCTGAGATATAATATAATCACCCCTAGGGATTGGAAATTGTCCCCAGAAAAAACAAAAACAAAAATAGTTACACAAATTGTTTCAATTTTCAGAATAGGATTTGACTGTGGTTTCAGTAAATAATATCTTTTACACATCTGGTGTGCCAAATGTCCATGTCTTTTTCAACAGAATGACATTTTCCTGAGCTTTAAGATCTTATACTGCTCTTTCTTATGAAGAAAAATACTTCTGGTGACCCTTTTTATGGTAGAAGACCAGTTACTCTGTTCCTATGTTATGTAGATGCGTAATTTTCTTTCTGACTTTTATAGTAGAATAGAATATAACATTATTGTTACTATCCGTAACGAGTCTGAAAGTGTGATAGGCAACCAAGAAAAGCATGGAAAATGACAGATTTTTTGAGAGAGCAAAAGGTCTGATTGAATGACAGATCAGCCACAACCTTCACCAAAATTCAGCAAGCACCTCCTGCTGTTTGTTCTTTCATGTTTGATTCTGATTCCATCTAGTAATTGTTTGACATTTGTCTGGCTGTACAAACATTGCCTTTTTTGGCATTTCAAGATAGAGTTATAAATTAGGAGAAGCAGTGTGTGAGGAGTCAAGTATGAAGAAGATTTAAGAATTTTCATGGGTATCTTTTTTACGTGGAAGGTGTATGTGGACCTCTAAGAAAAGCCTTTTGTGTCAGTAGTGCATTTGTTCAAAATTAGTCAAATACAATAGTATGGTATTCCTTATATCCTGTCATAGTTATTATATCTAGGTGTTTAAATTAGCACTAATTTGCCTGTGAGAGGGGATAATAGTTCTGAGTTAGCTGCTTTAGTAATAGTTTAAAGAATCTCATTGGCTTCAGTAATGGCAGATAACCCTAAATTGGCTGAGTAGCTTAGTACATTGTTGTGAACATTTGAATATTCTTTCTGATAGGCACACTGGGTAGTATTTTGAGCATCTAGACCTGAACTAATTTCCCTAAGTTGCTTCCCTTATGATGATGGCTCCACTTTTGAACTTGGTCATTTTACTTTATGGACTAGAAGTATTTTAGGGCAGTGTGAAAGTTTAGGTGCCCAAATTTCAGGCACAAGTATTAAAGTACATGAATGCAGAACTAGTCTGATCAGGGGCAAACAACGTAATGTAGAATTTAGTTTAGTTTGTAGAACAAAAGGTGGACAAGAGTTAAGTTTTAAACACTTTAAACAGTTTAGTTTTTAACACCACTGGTTTTCCCTGTCTTCCCTTAAACACATTTATTCAACATTGCTCATCTAAAATTGCTGTTAAGAAGCTGTAGATGTGTAAGTATAATGGCTACAGAAATTATTTGGAATTTTTGTAAGTATAATCAGTGACATCTTTGGAGCATGGAATTTGAGAAAAACATGCATGCCAATTACATTGCCTTGCCTTTGCCAGTATCTTTTTCTTCAGGATTTCAGGTAGTAGGATGTAGCACCAATGTTGTTACGTGTAAAATACTCCTTTCCTTGCACTCATCTATAGCAGAAGGTCTACATATGCTGTATAAATTCTTCCAGTGGAAGTTATCTGTGAAAGTTTTTAATAACACATCTGTCTCATCTTAAGAGATTTTTTTCTGATTTTCTTTAGAACTATTTTTTAATTCACACAGAAATCTCTAATTAATTTGATGGATTTGTATCCCAAGAGATAAATTCCGCAAGAATCAGTGATAGTAAGGCAATAGGATCTGTCAGTCCAGTACCTGAGTGATATTAATCTCTACTTAACTCCACAAAAGAAGTGAAAGTGGAGACTCTTTCCTTAAATCAACAGAATCATCTTTATTCCTTTGTAAAGCTCTGTTTGAAAATTTGGCTTGTGAGGATCTAGTTCCATTGCTGTATCTTGATTTTTCAGTTCTCAGATAAATTTCAGTGAAAGACTGAAATAAAAGAAATTTAGAATGATGCAGAATCTCAGTTCTACTCCATAAGCACTACTGGGCAATTTTAACAAGTGTTTAAGATGTTGTGGGTGCATTTTCATCTATTATTCATGTTGATTGTATGACTTTAAAAGTGGATGAGATGTGCTATTTCCAGTACTTATTTAAGTGAATCTCTTGTATTTCCCAGTTTCTCTATCTATTGCTAGTGAGAAACCCTGAAATGCTGAGATTGATATCCTATTCCTACTAGTGATGACAGGAGGTCAGATAGGAATGAAGAGTGGCTTGAAAATTTGCAGAAAGACACAAGTCTGTTTTGCCATGTTTGGAAAGCGTTGATTGAAAGAAATCCAAATATGGAAAGAAAGATTTATTTATTTATTTATTTATCTATTTATTCTGAAGTTGATATACAGTTTTCCAGTGCTTGCAAATGTAAGAAACTCTTCTTGCTCTTCTTTCTGAGTCAGCTGTGAGGGCAGACTCCAGAGAGATGGAAGAGGTCAGAAACTGCCATATTATGGATTTTTTATATGACTTAACTCAGTTAATACTTAGTAATTGAAATATCTTGGGGATTTTCTTTCATAACATTTACCTGGCCATATTTTATAGCTGCATTCTCTGTTCTACAGTTGTCTGTACACATTAGAAAGAATTCAACAACCACTTCATTCTACCTCTTCAATTTTCCTCAGAATTTTCAATTTTTCTGATTATGTTTAGATTCCTGGCTTGCATTGTTTAAATAATAATTTTGTTATTACCCATGTCAAAAATACTATTTTCAGCAACAGGGTGTATGATTCATGTTAGTGGAATCATTTGAGATCCTTTTGTGAATCTTTGGAATTGTAATAAGAAAAAAATTATGAAAATGTTAAGTCTAAGTTTCTTCCTCAATAATTCTTGTAATTTGTGTTGGTCATGTAATCTTTTAGATAGACTACCACTAATATATCATCTTGTCACTTTTAGGAATCAGGCAAGCAGGATCATGGGCTGCAGACACATTGAGGAGCAGCTGAGGTGAGATCTCATGTGGAAGCATCGCTTAGTTTGAGTCACCTGGGTAGTGAGTGAGCACATGCAGGATGGCTTTTGTTCACAGAAGACAGATTAGATATTGAGATTAGTCACAAATGACTGAAAAATGGTGTTCGCTGTCATTTCTGAAGGCTTCCCATACCCTGCTTTGACCGCAGCTGCTAGTGAGCCAGGCTCACTCAGGCCCACATCCTGACCTGATGTGGGTTTGTCTTGATTCCAGAGAGGTACCTGGAGCTGGGGCTGTCCTTGTGTTCCCCGTCAGCCTGGGCAACCCCTGAGATCCTGGCACCTCTGGTCCTGGGGAGATGCCAGCCTGCACAGTGCCATGACAGATCAACAGCAAAGAGACTGCTCAGAATTGTACATGGGGTGACAAAAAACACAGTGGAATAAGGTAAGAAAACCACATCGAAATGCACTGCTCTATAAACAATGTTTATAAAATAGAATGTTTCTGAAACAGTTTTATGTGTCTGACCCTGTAAAGATATTCACAAAATAGTGCTTTGGGCTTGCTGTCATTTTGAGATCTGCTTTGTTCCCTCTATAATATCAGTTCTCTTACTTTCAGAATGTACAACCTTTTAACGAGCAATGCTAACTCTAACTGCAGGATTACGATACAAAGTTTTTCACAGGCAGTTTGTTAGATTACCATTTCAACTGTGCAGTATTTGCTCACAAAGACACAGGGGAATATCTGCAAAGCTTTGTTTGCATTATAGAATTATTGATGAAAAATGAATTTTGTTCTTTGTCAAGGCACAGTAATCACACTGAGAAAAAATGTGTTTTTTTGTTTGTTTGTTTTTTTGTTTGTTTTTTTTATAGTTTGGCCAATATTTTTTTGCCAAAAAAGTGTTATTTTAGTTGCAAAAGGCTAGAAAAGCTTCACAGAGTGATCACAGAGGTAGATATGACAAAACCTGTTTTCAGCCTGTGTGACAGCATCTGGCTTTGCATGTTGATTAGGTGCTTCTTCTGGCCAAGTGATAATGACAATGAGCAGTCCCAGGTCTGTCCAAGCAGGAAATGTGTGCCCTAACTGCAGCGTCCTACATTGCCATGGCACATTATGCTGTTTGGGCTGTCCAGCCAGGAAGAGGAAATAATGTGGCTTCTTGATGAGCTGCAAATCCTATCAGCAAATATGTGATGAACTGCTGAGAGTTTTTTGTAATGAGTCAATATGAAGCATTTTTTGCCAGTTGAGATCTGCCTGCATAATTTAATAGCCATTTGTCTAAGTACTGGCTAGCACAAAGATCGGGCCCAGATGACATGACAGTAAAGTTAAATACATATATAATCCCTTAAAATTGTAATAAACATATCCATGAAATTGTTTGTCCACAGACTTCAGGCTGCCAAATCCATAAGATAGGAAGAAAAAAAGGAAAAGGGTCAATTAATTAATCTTATAAATAGCTTGACCAACACTATTTCTAATGACCGCTCCTGATTTAATTGATATTACAGAAAGACAATGTGATAAGATTGTCATATGAAACATGAAAGATGAACATTGTAGATCCACTTATCTGGCTTTTTAACCAGTGTGAAAAGCTGCAAGTAAACCAAAATAGTGTTACAATATGAATGGTAGGGATTATTGTTTTGAATGGTAACTATTGGCATGGTTACCTTCCCTTAAGAGGAGAAACAAAGATACCTGAATGCTCTGAGTCAGAAAAGTGTATGTACTGTATGTGACACGTCTAAGGGGTTAGATAGACTCACCTTGCTTTGTCTTTATAAAGCATAGCTGAGCATCAGTAATAAATTCATACACAATTTTGAAACAGGTTTTTCTTGAAATGCCATGGACAATTTGAACAATTTTCTCTTCAAATGGCAAGAGAAGTTTTGAAGGATCAAAAGGGTTAATTAATTAATCCTCTCTATGTGACATGTTTGAAGTAAGGGACTCAGGAATGCTTTTCCACTCAGGTCAAAGTGTTGGCCCTGGCAGCATCTGGTTCCAGTACTCTGTGTGTGAAAGAATCACAGAAGAGGCAGTTCTTTAAAAGTTCTCCCTATTTTCTGCTTTTATTTTTGGTGTCAGCTGTAGTAGAATTACTTTACAGTGAAGAACTGCAATGATGTCAGTGTTAGAATAAGACATCTTGAAAAGCTGGTGCAATAAACATAGTAATAGTGATAGTACATATTGCCATTGAATCAACATTGGTAATAAGCTCGTGACAGGTAATAAGGAAGTTGAGTTCATGAGAGGGTGAGTGGATCGTACTAAATCTGAGGAACAGAATCAAAGTACAACTGGTCATAAAACTTCAGGAGTAGCAGCTATCAGTTTCACTAGGAGTGTTTGTCCAAATAATTCAACAAAGATTTCCCTTTAAAACCAACTTAATTAATGTACCAAAATTTTAGGAAGAATTTCCCTTTTGAAAAAACCTTTTGTCCTCTCCATGTGACTGAAAATGTCTGTGAGAAGCACTGAGGATGTGAAATCTCTGGTGCAAATGAAGTAGCACACTGTTAAACATGGCTATTAAGATATTTTCTTGGGAGTTGTTTTTGATTCATGTGGAATAGATTAAAAGTCTGTTTCAAATCCCACAAGATTTCCCATGGAGTATAATTATACATGAAACAGAATAAGGAATGCAGTCCAACAATTACTTTAATTAGATGGTGGTTACTGAAGCTGTCAGTGTGCCTAGTCTCACAAAAAACTAAGAACGGAGAGTTAGGTAATGGAATTGTTGATAAATGTTTGAACTGCAGAGGAATTAATTATCTGTGTAAATAAACACTGGACTAGAAACACTGTAATCAGCTGACGGGGTCTTGCCCTTCATCATCACTGGTGGCATAATACCTATCTTAAAGACCAATTTGCTATCTTATAAAGCAACCCTCAAGGGTCAGCCTTGCTCCCTCTGAGTAATTCAGCCCTCTGCACTTTTTCTTGGACCTGAAACTCGAAGTAATAAAACTTGGCATGAGCATCAATGTAAGAATGGCATCAGTAGCACCTGAGATCCTCTTTTCTTATACTTTCATTTTGTCAATGAGATTAATGTGAATGCTTCTGAAAGCAAAAGAAGGGGGGAAGATATTAATTCTCCTCGATCGCGTAATGATAATTATACTATACTGTAGAGTCTCTCTTCTTACTCTGTAGATTCTGACACCATCTTCTGCCAGAAAAGATTATGTGGGAGGGACCAGCATTTTGTTTTGGACTGGAAATTTTTATGTTTCCATGTACATGACTATACCTGTGTTTTTGGAGTGGTAAACAGAGAAGATGATAAAATATAAGATCAGAGTTTTGTATCTGGGGTCTTTTGCAAACACTAGCTCTTTAGAACAGAGCATCTTGAGTAATTTGTGTATCCAGGTTCTGTTTTGAACCATTCTAAGTCAGAAAGGATAGAAATTCTTCTGGCTTATGATGAAGTTGGATCTGTCCTGCCCATATGCTTCGTTAGTGCCTTAGCAGCACTTTAATGAATAGTCCTGTCTCAAAGGAATGGTCAAAACCTTACTGAACCATGAAGCTCTTCCTCATTATTTCCATATTCCTCAAGGTATTGTCTTTCCATAATTATAAATGAATTATACTGAAGGCAGAGGATGAGAGTAGTGCTGCTGTCTCTGTGCCTATAGATCTGTACATAAATTGTTTTGTGAATTCCTTTCCTTATCGTGGGAGATAAGATGTTACAAGGAGACAGAAATCTAAAGTAACCAAGCTATTGATTTTAATCTCCAGGAAAGGCAGATGCAGCTATGCTCGTGCATTCACTTTCTAGATTGTTAGATGGTATCAGTTTGCCACAGTCCTAAAAATACCCTAATGCAACAATAAGCTTCAGTCTCACATTCTGCTGATCCAGCTATTTACACTATTCTGTTCAGTCAAAGAACAATCAGTGAGCAGTGTATTGTAATCTTTAGGAGGGGGTTGCCAGGAGACCAACTTCGACATGACTACATTTCAATGGGCTTTTGAGAAGCCCATAGAGAAGAACACTGTAGAGAAAGTTTTCCTTGTAGAATGTATCTGATTTTCAGTTGTAAACCATTTAGAGAGTTATGTAATTCAAGACGTGTTCCCAACACTGACGATAATGCAATTCCCACTTCTATGAGCAAATACCCAGGACAGGGATTCAGTTCCATAGGCTGCAGAATCTTTCTGTTTGCCTCTCAATTTAACTGATTTAATTATGATTCACGGTTTCAGTGAATGTGAAGAGGAACACTGGAAAAAAATAAAAAATCTACTTCTTGCTTAATAGCATATTAAATCTTCATAGACAAGAAAATCTGAACCTCTTTAGGGAGGTTTTAAGACTTTTAAATGTCTATGGTTAAAAGGAAAGAAATGTGCTGGCCCCTTGAGCAAATTAAGAACAAGTGAGTATCACAATTTTCTTTCCTATCTAGCTTTTTCCTCCTCGTATCCCATCCTAAGCTGGGACTTGATTTAAGCAATAATTGCATACATATAATTTGCTTTTTGTTTTCAGAGTTTCAGTTTGCAGCACTAACAGTTTTCTTTTCTATGGTGACGTAATGAGAATCTCAGTAATGGGATTTTAATGATATTTAAGCTCCTGATTTAGGTTATAGATTCTTAAAGATATTCTGAAGCATAAGTTAAATCAGATGTGATATTAAAGCTTCACTGATGGACCTGATGCATCTGGCACGCAATGAGGGCATGTTTTCAAAAGGCTATTCTCCTGGAAGACACATGACTACAAGTCAAGTTCTGCAGATTGCTGGGTTGTTCTGAAGTTCTGCTCTGAACATTTAGCCATAATGTCACCTAATATCTGTTCTTGCCTTTAAACCACATGTTCACTTCTAAGCTGTAGCTTATAACTCCCACCTTACCAGGACTGTGTCTGTTTGTCAACACTTTCCTTCTGTGGAAAGTGAGTCTTAGTGACCAGCAGTAAGCCAGGATAATTAGGACCTTCCTTCTCTGTAATACAGGTGGGATTTTTCTGACCATCAAGTGGAGTTCGAGGGAAGACAGAGGTTATTCTAATAACTTGGAAGCCGCAGGTTGCCTGCAGATATTTTATTTGTTCTGAAGATCTTTATTTATTTATTTATTTTCACTTGTGTTCTGCTGGGCAAAATCCAAATAAGTCTTGGTGATTAGTAGAGATGTTTGAATAGATGGAGCACTGACTTTCATGGATTATTCAATAGATAAGTTCAGCAAGAGTTCTGAATCCTGCTTTTTTTTTTTTTTTTTCATTTGTAACTAGTGCCTTTTAAAGGTGAAAAGGTGAGAAATGATTCCTTTTCTTTATTCAACTCTTTAATCATTTTTTAAATTCTTTCTTATGCAACCTCTGCTTTTCGTTTCCACTTCTTAGAATGAGACAATCAGAATCATTAAGG